AGGGAAAAAAGCTCACAACACTTGAATTACATCTTTTCCTCTCCACATTTCTGCAAGGTCACATTTTCTTGCACAGTTTATAAGGATTTTTTAAAAAAGAATTATTTAATTTTGTTTTTACACTTTTTTTTTTTTTTAATTTGACCAGAGAGGGACAGAGTGTGAGGGAGAGAAAGTGAGAATGCAAGCCAAGAGGTCTGGGACTGGAACTGCAGTCAGTCATGTGGGAGTCCAGCATACATAACCCCCATGCCACCTGCTGGACCCAAGGAATTTTTTTTTAATTCCATTGATCCTGTGTATATCGTGTATTTTTTAAGAACTTATCTTTATATTTTCTGCTTTTCACATTTAAACCAGGTCTCCTCAATGTTTATTCTGCTTTCTAAATTTAAAAAAAAATCGAGTTTTATTTATCTTACAGAATATGGATTAAATAGTAAATTCAAAAGTTTCATCACAATCCCCATTGATTAAAAGATCTGGCAATTAGAATTGAGGGAAAGGAGATGAAATGTCCAAGAAACACCACCCAAAAACTAAAAAAGGCAGGTAATGAACTATTCATAATCTATTTTATCTCCTTTTAAAACATCTAGAAAGTTTGGGAACCAGCAGTTAGTGTAATGGCTATGTTGCTGGACTCCCACATAGTCAACCACGGTTCACATCCCGGACCTGGTAGCTTAGAACTCACGCTGGGCGAGTGTGCTTGCGTGCCCAAGATCCCAGGAGGAGAATGGAGAAGAAGGGATTGTGGCATGACCATCCCCCCTGGGGAATGATTTCTCACTTTCTGTCTCTATGTCTCTGTCCATCTGGTGAGCGCATGCGCCCTATAGCAAGAACCTCTCCAAAAAAAAAAAAAAAAGTAAAAAAAATCTAGAAAGTTTAAAGTATATATTCAGAAGAATGCATTCTCATTGGCCTATAATTTAGGGGCATGTAAATAAATGGAGGTCAAAGATAAATAATGTTCACTCCAACTCTGCAATGGTACTTGTCACTAGTAACCTTAATCTGTTGTAACTTTAGAAGTCTGCTTATCATTTCTACCACTATTAAAGGCATTTGCTTCCTGAGCCTCTTATCCTCATAATGTTTTTATCATTCATTCTGTCTACTTACACTTCCCTTACTTCAGAATGATAAGACCAAAACCCAGTTCTTCTCTAAAATTCCGATCACTTCAGGCAAAATGACCTCATTCTCTCAATTGTACACATGAAACCAACTTATTTAATCATTTTGCTTATGTACTATCTCTTAAATTGTACAATAGGTAGCCTGAGGTTGAAAGGTTTTTCTTATACCAATTAAAATTTTGAGGTCACATGCATCACAGTATACCCTATATGTTGTTGATAATGCTACAAATGTATAAGTAGTGTACAGATATTATCATGATTCCATAAAATGAACAAACTCTGCCTACTTATAGAAAGGAAAGATACCAAATCCTTCTTAAAGGCTGGATAACAAAAGTATGATGGTTCTATGGTTGTGGGAAAAACGTAACAGAAAATACTTCATACAAAGATTCCTTTCAATAAAAAAGATGGCTACAAAATGGAACAGCCCTCTAGGGCAGCAATTAGGCATTGTTCAGGGAAAGCTGGATCCCACGTGACCAGGCAGAGTTAGCATTCTGGCCCTGGCAGCTTGAAAAACACTCTGAGTACGTACATGTATGTCCAGGATCCTGTCAGGATAGAGAATTGGAACAAAAAGGATTGTAGTGTAACCGAGTTTCATTGGGGAATCCCCACATGTTCTCTCTCTGGCTCTGTCTCTCTCTCTCTCTGTCTCTGTCTCTCCAGCAGACGCATGCCCTCTGGCACATTTTTTTTTTAAATATTTCTACAAATTAATGTATGGGCCTTGACATAGATTTTTTTGTCACTTTGAGCAGGCTATTTATCACAATGCTTGCACCTTGTAAATATTTTAGCTACATAATCACAATCTAAATTTTCATAGTTACCGGGCCCCACTACTAAATTAGCAGCTGCAAAAGAGAGTGCTCCTTTCAGAGATTCTGTAGCTAGGAAATAGCAAACAAGCCACACTGCTTGGTTGTCATGGTGGCAACTCAAATCCCCACATCTCATTAATAGATTTTTTTTTAAGACAAATAAATCACATGGGGATACATAGATAATAACAGTCGAAGAGTGATATTTAACAAGTTGCCGAGCTTACAAAATTAACAGTGAACTGGAATTTTGACAGAATTAATGCAGAGACTTGATGCCTTAAATACCAAACTACAACCTAATTCCCTGCTGTTGAACAATGGGTTCTATTTGTGTTACTGTTTTACTTTCTAAACACCACAGTCTTATTTAATGGATTTTTTATGCCGTTTTTTGCCCAAATCAAGAACAAAGTTGCTAAATTGCTACAAGTTTTTTTCTAATGTCAAGCTGTCACATTATTTTGTATGATTATCAATACATTTCTTAGGTGTTAGTGTACCAGGAGCATAAGGATTAAGGAGGGCCACAGAACCACTTACTTTGTAACCTTCATCACATTCAAAATAGCCACTTTCTTCATGAGCCTCACCAGAAACAAAAAATTAAATAAGAAATCAAAAACAAAAAGTAGCACGCTAGAGGAGACCTTGGGACACATATTTTGACTAAACAAAGGATCTAAAAGAGGGTTAAAAGGGGACCGTGGGAAGGAGATAGTGCCTGCACCTCCGTTGGCACTCGTCCCTTTTGTCTAGGTAGAATGTCTGTCTCTCTGTCTTAATAAACCTTGAGCTGTGATAGACAAACACTGACAGCCTATTTCTCAACCTAGCACACTGAAGATTACATATATCTCAGATTCACTATCATTAAATACCGACTGTTATTGTTTTTCCACACTTCTTATTTCTACAAGCTAAAAACAGTATAAAGAGAAGTGATCTAATTTCTAAATTCAGGGTTTAAGTTAGTTACAATTTCAAACAATTTCAAATTGGTACCTTTGTCTAGAATAAAACAAGACAAATAGATACAGCTTGGGCTGAAAAATAATCATCTTTATCAATAGAATTCCAAACTACCATATCAAATGTGACTAAAATTGTTATTACATAGCTTAGAAAAGCAATTAATTAATTAATAATGAAGGATTAATTCATGATAGAGGGTTACGAGGAAGAGGATTAGAAAAGAGAATGACTTCCAAAGTCAGTTTTAGTTTGGTTTTTGTTGCTACTGCTACTATTGTATTTATTATAACAAAAAGAATTTCAAGTAGTTTATCTTTGTGGTTCTCTAAAGAAAAATCAGCCGAGGAGACTGATAATTGAAGAATGTATAGTCAAATTTTATATTTAAAGCTTATCCAGGACCAGCCTGTGGCATGGTGGTTAAGGTGGCTAGATCCCACATGGCCAACTGCATGGTTCCAGTTTGGGGCCCGAACTCAGCAGCGTGAAAAATGTGCTGAGTGCTTGTGTGTGCCTGCCAAAAAGTCTCAGAAAGAGTGAGAAATGGAGAAGGGATTGCAGCATGACCATCCCACACGGGGGGTGCTTTCTCTCTCTTGGTGAGCATACACACCTTCTGGCAAATTAAATATAAAAACCAACTGACAAGTATTCATCAGGTACCTAGTATTTTTGCTTAGTAGGAACCTCAACTTTCCAGGTAAAGAAAGAAACAAAAAACTAGGTAAAGGAATCAACAATTATTCTAAGAGACAAAATAATGATAATTAAAACCTAGCAAATAATATAATATCTAGTCCATTCTTAAATTATTTGGTATATATTATAAAGTCCTGTGAAGAAATCGGTGAAAAATAAAATTACCTGGTAACTTCAAGTGGAAAAGATGGTGAGATTGGTTTAGTTGAAGTGGTTAATGTATTAGAAAGCAGAGAGAAATCAGCCTGTATAGGTTTGTATAATGTGCACAAAGTTAGCAATTTACCAACAAGACAGTAATGTAAAGGCTAAGAGAGACTTGACTCAATTTGTTTTCTTTTCTTCTTCAGTAAAGAAAATGGACTCTACGTGGGTAAACATGAAACGACGTAGAAAGAGAACTGAAACTCAAGACAGGTGAGGAGGTAGTAAGAGAACACCTATCCATTTCAAATAAGCTCATGTTGCCAGGCACAAATTACATCCCACAGCTGTTTACAAGTAACTTAAGATCCATTACTGGTAAGGTCTGAGAAAAAATGTAGAAAAATAAAGGTTATTGCAGCTGGAGTCAGAATGGTTCAGTCTGGCTTTCTCATCTCCTATCTCACCATGTTTGAAGGACACAGGGTAAACAAATTAGTTATTAAGTTGTACTGTGCTTATGTGCTTGTTATGTAATTATGGCTTCACTGTTTTATGCCATCGAATGTAACATGCATGTGGGTATACAACTGTTTGGCTTTGGCCAAACAGTTGTCTCCAACCTCTTTAAAAGAAAGGGGAGTGCCTAGTCAGATAGCACTACCCTGCACAGCCCTGCCCTATTCTGCCCAGCTTACTAGCACTGCTCAGCTTGGCCTTGGTTCAAGCTGGTGTGATGGCCTCGGCTTGGCTTGGCCTTGGCTTGGCTTGGCCCAATTCCAGTGCCCTGTGAGCTCCTAGAGGGAGGAAAATGCTCTGTGAGCATGCTCCATGCACATTACTAGCTTGTGAGCACTACTATGGGCTTTGTAGGCCTACTAAGAGCTCTGTGAGCTCCCATCAAACTCAGCCAATAAACAACATTAGAACCTCGCATCTTTTTCCAACTCCCAGCGTCTCTGACCTGCCCTTTGGAGGAGAAAGAACCTCACAAAGCAAAAAGGAAAGGGGGAAAAAAGAGGTGATAGATTACTTGCTTTTTAATGCTGATAAAAAGGTAGACCTGGGGACAGCAGATGGTATAATGGCTATGTTGCTGGACTCCCATGTAGTCAACTGCAGTTCAAGTCCTGGACCTAGTGGCTTAAACTCACACCAGACATGTGTGTGTGCATGCCCAAGATCCCAAGAGGAGAATGGAGAAGAAGGGATTACAGCATGGCCATCCCTCCCCGGGGAGAGATTTCTCACTTTCTGTCTCTCTGTCTGTCTCTGTGGTTCTGGCAAGTGCACACGCCCTATACCAAAAACCACAAAAGCAAAATTTCAGAGTACATAATTAAATATATTTAAGAGTTTGGTAGTCAGTAGAAAGAGGTCATAATAAAATAAGTCATATCACATTTCTTTTTCTAATTTAATTTTTAAGTTAGTATGGAATCTTATATTCATTATACAAATTAGTTTCAACAAAGCATTTAATTAGTCTTTCATGATTTCTTTATAAGTAAGACTCTAAAATTAAGGCTTGATGTAATTATACTTAGGTGCATTCAAAGTTAGTTGGATAATTATATCCAGATTTTTGTTCATATTTTTTAATGACATAGGTGAAGACATAGATATAATTATAGTTAGATCAAAGGAAAAAACAAAACCCACATAGTATAGAAAATATGATTAAAAACAGAACCAGGAAACAAAATTATTTTTAACGATTTGAACTCTGAGCCAAACCCTAAAAGATAAGATTTAGTAGGCAGATATGAAAATCCATACATTCAAGTTAAAAATTAAAACATACCCAAGTTCAAAATAGAATAGACTCTAGTGTAGCCATGAAAAAACAAATGGGAGGTTTTAGTGTCTGTCAATATCAGTGTGAAGGTAGCCTACAGTTATATCTCTAACATTTCCATTTGAAAATGCTGTCCACACCTGTGGACTCCTATCATGTCCTTGCCACTATTCCCTAAGATTTTACTCACTTTTCTCCAGTGTCCTTTTTCAAAGAACTCTGCATTCCTAATTCTCAGAAGCTATGAAGATATTGCCTTATATGAGAAAATGGAATTAAGAGTCCAGGTAGAGTGAAGATTGTTAATCCACTGACCCTAAAATAGGGAGTTAATTCTTGCCTTGATCATCCCAGTGGGACCAGTCTAATCACGGGTGTCCTGAACGTGGAAGAAGGAAGCAGAAGATGAGGTCAGATGGGAAGACTCAACTGACTATTACTGGCTGTGAAAGTGGAGGAAAGAATGCTGATGGCCCCTAGAAGTTAAGAAAGGCAAGTCAATACAACCTCACCCTGGAGACTCCCCGGGAAAAAACAGAGCCCTATCAACCCCTTCATTTTATCCCAGAGAGACCTATGTTTTGGATTTGTGCATTAAGTCACTAAGGTTGTGGTCACTTGTTACTGCAGTAATTGAAAACTAATACAGCCGTTTATCATTTAATTTCATTCTCTGCATTATAGCACAGTGATTATTTAAGATCCAAATATTCTTCTTTTCTTCTCTCTTTTTAGGCAAGCAACATAATGTCATAGAAAGGATAATGATCTATTACTTAGATATTATGGATTCAGAAACTTCATTAACTGTTGTACCTCCATAATCACATACTACTCATAGTTAGGGTCCACAGTCACTAGTTTTCCAATTTGTAACATAGTAGTATAAAATAGCTGCCTTTCTTTCTTTCTTTCTTTCTTTTTTTTTTTTGGAGAGATTTTCACTGTAGGGCGCGTGCGCTCGCCAGACAGACAGAGAGAGACATAGAGACAGAAAGCGAGAAATCACCCCCCAGGGGGGATGGTCACGCCGCAATCCCTTCTCCTCCATTCTCCTCTCGGGATCTTGGGCACGCACGCACACGTGCTCAGCGTGAGTTTTAAGCCACCGGGTCCGGGACACGACCCGCGGTTGTCTACGTGGGAGTCCAGCGACATAGCCATTACACTAACTGCTGGTTCCCAATAGCTGCCTTTCTTGACCCTCTCAGGGCATTTATGAGATGAGGTTTGTGAAAAAATAAAATCCAACTGTTAAACACATGATATGTGCTATTTCCGATCTGTATGCTTTATGTGCAATTTTTTATTTAATATCTAAACTTGCAATGTGAGGTATACATTGTTATTTTTCCCACCCAGGTATAAATAAGTTAAGTACTCTGAAAACTATAAAGCACCAGAGTTTACAAATAAATGGATGTCATGTAGATAACTGATATATAATTAAAAGAAACAATTTTCTACTAATAATTTCCTGAAAATATTTTCCTTTTTTGATTTAACCTTTACTAATATTAACTTTCCATATTTGTACCTTGTCTCTTTCCATGTTTGTGCCTTCTACCTTTTCCTTATGTACCTTTCACCTTTAATTATGATTCTCTTGGGGCTGGCAGGTAGCATGGTGGTTAAGGGTGCTGGACTTCCACATGACCAACAGTGGTTTGAGTCCTGGGCCTGGCGGCTTGCTTTCTCACTTCCTCTCTCTCTCTCTGTCCCTCTCTGGTCAGATTTAAGTAAATAAATAATTAAATAAATAAAGTTAAACCATTCTTAAAAAAATTAATTCTCTCAATCTGTCCACTCATTCTGTAAATATTTGTGAACTGCCTGTTTTTTTTTAAAAGAATTATTTATTTATTTATTTCCATTTGTTGTTATTTTTTTTCTTTATTTGACGAGAGAGAGAGAGAGGAGAGAAAGGGAAAGTGAGAAAGCAAGCCACCACGTCCA